GTGACTTGGTCTGGCAGACAGAGGGTGCACGCCCAGGGCTCAGGGTTAGAAAAGGGGTCAACAGAGCTCCAGACAAGGTGGGGAGGGCAGAGGGGCCAGGATGCCTGAGCGAAGACAGCAGAGAATCAGTCTGGGGGCCCCTTTGATGTCCTCAAAGACCTAGTTTTTTCTCTTTTCTGGGATCTCACAGCGCTTTGCACAGATCCTTAACCTTGTGTCTTAGGTGCACGATTATCTCCTCCACTAGTGCAGAAAATTGAAGGCAAAGGTGGTATTTCATTCATTCACTCAGAATCTGCTATGCACCAGTTCTTTTCCTGGGTGTTGGGGACAAATCAACAAGACAGATAAAGACGTCCAGATGTCCCTTTCCTGGTGGAGTTCTGATCCAGTTTAGACCCAATGTTGAGCACATATACAAAGTGCCTTGCTGTTAAATGCTGAAAGGTTATTTAAACTAGCCTGCCAACCAAATACATTGCTAACAGCAGCACTGAAACTCACGTCTCCTTTGGGTGAAAGAAAAATGGAATTATGGCTAAGAATGTCTGCAGAAATTTCGTAACTACATCAACAAACGTGAAACGAGTCACAAGGAAAGGCTGAGAACAGTTGAGACAGTAGTTAGGATGGTTGACAGAACACCCAAAGTAGCAGGAACAGCAGTGATGACGCTGATGAGTCCACGTGGCGGCAGAGAGACTGGGCTTGTCCAGGAACTGTTTCCAGTTGGCTGTGGGGGAAAAGGCTCTTGTAACATTGAGGTACCTGCCCAGGGTCACTGGACAGTGGCCAGCCTGCTTGCAGATGCATTGGCTGAGAGCTGGGAGGAGCATGAAGCACTGTTCTCTTCTGCTTGGAGAGCAGGCTGTCCCGTCCTGGTGCTGGGCAGGCCTCGTTAAGTCTGTTCCTTTTCTGAATCATCCTTCCTGCTGGGCAAGGTCTCTGTTTGTCACACAATTCCATCATTCAATTTCTGCAGAAATGAAGCATGCGTTTAGAAATTTAAGCAATAGTGCAAAATTTAGAATCACCTGAATTCCCTCCCAGAAAGCACCTTTATGAATGTTTAGTGAATAGTCTCACAGAAATTTCTCAGTGAATACTTTAATGTAGATAAAATTAATTATCCCCAAATGAGATACAACAATCCTACTTATAATTCTAAATTTTATTTTAAAACTTTGTAAATATGCCATACATACAGAAAAGGGAAAAATTTTAAAGCTATAAATGCAACAATATGAATACATCTATGTAAACTCTACTTAAGTCAAGAAATAGATCAGTGCCCAGAATCCCACTCCTGTTCCTCTGTAAAAGTCCCCCTCATCACCCTTCCTTCCTTCTTCCCCCCAGAGGACCACTGTCCTGACTTCTGTCACCATAACTTAGTTTCACCTTTTTAACCTTTTATAAAATGAATCATTGGGACGTCTCTGGAGGGCCAGTGGTTAAGATTCCTCCCTTAACAGGGGAGGGGTTATGGATTTGATCCCTGGTCTGAGATCTAAGATCCCACATGCCTCGGGGTGCAGGCCAAAAGAAATGGAATTCGGTATTACTTTGTGTCTGACTTCTTTGGCTCAAAATGATATTTGTGAGCCTCATCACCATTGCTCTGTGTCTCCGTCGCTGGTTTTCATTGTTGTCTAGTGCGTGAATAGTCAGTGGACACATGCACATTTCAGTTCAGGACTGCTGTGAGTAATGCTGCTCTGAGTGTTCCTGTGCACATTTTAGCCTGTGTATACACGTCTGTTTGATATTCCCAGGAATAGAATTGTCGAGTCACGTAGGACGTGCACTCTGCTTTGGTCAGAAAAGGCCAGATTTCCGAGGCAGCGCCATTAGTTTACCTTCGCAGACAGTACACGAGGGTCCCAGGACCCCGGCCTGGTCTGCTCAATAGGGTCGAATGTTCTCCTGCATTTTAGCTTTCTTGCTGTTGTTCAGTCACTCAGTCATGTCCAGCTCTTTGTGGCCCCATGGACTGCAGCATGCCAGGTTCCTGTGTCCTTCACCATCTCCCAGAGTTTGCTCAAACTCATGTTCATTGAGTCAGTGATGCCATCCAACCATCTAATTCTCTGTCGTCCCTTCTCCTCCTGCCCTCAGTCTTTCCCAGCATCAGGGTCTTTTCCGATGAGCCAGCTCTTTGCATCAGGTAGCCAAAGTATTCGAGTTTCAGCATCAGTCCTTCCAGTGAATATTCAGAGTTGGTTTCCTTTAGGATTGACTGGATCAATCTCTTTGCTGTCCAAGGGACTCTCAAGAGTTGGCAAAGTGATGTCTTTGCTTTTTAGTACTGTCTAGGTTTGTCATAGCTTTCCTACCAAGGAGTAAGTGTTAATTTCATGGCTACAGTCACTGTCCACAGTGATTTTTGAGCTTAAGAAAATAAAATCTTCCCACTTTTCCCCTTTCTATGTGCCATGAAGTGATGGGACCAGATGCCATGATCTTCATTTTTTGAATGCTGAGTTTTAAACCAGCTTTTTTACTCTTCTTTTTCACTTTCATCAAGAGGCTCTTTAGTTCCTCTGTGGCTTTCTGCGGTAAGGGTGGTGTCATCTGCATATCTGAGGCTATTGATATTTCTCCTGGCAATCTTGATTCCAGCTTGTGCTTCATCCAACCCAGCAGTTTTCATGATGTACTCTGCATATAAGTGAAATATACACGGTGACAGTATACAGCCTTTGTCATACTCCTTTCCCAGTTTGGAACCAGACCATTGTTCCATGTCCAATTTTAATGGTTGCTTCTTGATATGCATGCAGGTATCTCAGGAGGCAGGTAAAGTAGCCTGGTAGTCCCATCTCTTGGAGAATTTTCCACAGTTTGTTGTGATCCACACAGTCAAAGGCTTTAGTGTAGTCAGTGAAGCAGAAGTAGATGTTTTCCTGGAATTCCCTTGCTTTCTCTATGATCCAACAAGTGTTGGTAATTTGATCTCTGGTTCCTCTGCCTTTTCTAAACCCAGCTTGTACATCTGGAATTTCTCAGTTCACATATTACTGAAGTCTACCTTGAAGGATTTTGAGCATTACCTTGCTAGCTTGTGAAATGAGTGCAGTTGTATGGTAGTTGGACCATTCTTTGGCACTGCCCTTCTTTGGAATTGGAATGAACTTCACTGATGGCTCAGTGGGTAAAGAATCCACCTGCAATGAAGGAGACACAAGAGACACAGGTTGGGAATCCCAGGGTTGGGAAGATCCCCTGGAGAAGGAAAAGGTGACCTACTCCAGTATTCTTGCCTGGAAAATCCCATGGACAGAGGAAACTTATGGGTTACAGTCCTTGGGATCACAAAGAGTCAGACAGGACTGATGGCTAACTAAGCACAGCACCAGTATTCCTGCCGAGAGAACCCCAGCAACAGTATGATAAGGCATTTTTGCTATTCTGGGAGAAAAGTTGTAGTTCACATGGTTTTAATTTGTGTTTTGCTGAAGACTAAGGAGGTGAGCGCCTGTCCATGCAGTCACTGCCTGTCCAGGGTGTCTGTTGGTGAAGTGCCTGTCTGGGTCTTCTGCCTGGTTTTCCTACTAGGTTGTCTTCCTGTTTCTCATTTAATGTGTCAGGTTATGTTGCAGAGACCGCCTCAGAGCCTGTGGGAAACACCTTTCACTCTCTCAGGGCTGCCCGTGACAGCTTTTTATTGTGCCAGCCTTCACATCTCAGTAAGCACAAACATCCTATTTTTTTAAATTAGTTAATTAATTTATTTTTCTGTGCTGCATCTTAGTTGTGGCATATGGAATCTAGTCCCCTGACCAGGAATCAAACCTGGGCTCCTGCACTGGGAGTATGGAGTCTTAGCCACTGGACCACTGGGGAAGTCCCCCAAAACATCTTATTTCAAACAATGAATATTGAGTGTCACTGTACTTGAATTTAACAGGAAAAAAAAAACTGAAGTAAGATGGAGGGAATGCAGAATTTCAGATAAATATTTCCTCACCATAAAAAAAAGAAAAAACTAGTTTCTAAGCTAAAGCTGCTGGAATTAAGAAAAGGATTTATGAGAAACATTAATCAGTGGCAGTTAATTTTGTTTGTTTGTTTTGACTTCATCCTGTGACATGTGGGATCTTAGTTCCCCAACCACAGATCAAACTCACACCCATTGCAGTGGAAATGCAGTCTTTACCACTGGATCCTCCAGGGACGTCCCAGCAGTTATTTTAAAATGTGTTTTAACTTTGGATAGTATCTACTAACGCTTGGTTTGAATAAGGAAATCACCTTCTCAGATTTCCTTCCTTCTCTCTCCCAAACTCTCGCCTGAGTTTGCCAGCTCTGTGCTGCTAAGTTTTACATTTTATTCTCAAACCAGTTTCCTCTGTAGAACAGATTCATCCTCTTGGCCAGTCTTTTGACCATGGCTCCTCCCTCCCTTAATTTTCTGTTTTGATCCACCTCTTGGTTGGCTGCACTTCATTTCCAGTGATGTTTTTAAGCTCCCTCGGGTGCTGACTTCCTCTGATGCTGTAGAATGTCTGCCACCTGCCAACTGAGAGGACACAGTGGCTGAGCCGTCGCCCATGTGCCTCTTGGAAGACACGGTAGCAGAGCCTTCGTCCATGTGCCCCTTGCGACAGCTGCTGTTGAACGCAGAGGGCTGCCTGCTGGCGCCTAGTAACGTGGACTTCCCTGAGCCCGCGACCCCGTGGCTCCTTCTGTGCCAGCCCCGCCCTGCCTGCTTGTGTCTACCGAGGGTGGCTCTGTTTGAAGACTGTGTAGTAAACTGTCCCGGGGTGGGTGGAGGCCCTGAGCTCCCCTCACCTGCAGACAGCGCCCTTCCTATCCCTGGGAGTGTTTCGTTCCCGTGGGAACACAGGCCTCTGGGTGGGGCAGGGAGACTACGGGAGCAAGACTGCATCTATTTATTCTCCCACAAACATTTACCAGTGAGGGGGTCCCTCCAGTGTAACAGCCATCACAGTCCTGCTGCATGTGCCCTGGAGGAGGTCCGGCAGGCTGGAGGGACCATGGCCAGATCCACTCCGTCACCTTTCCTACTCTGGTCACCCCCGCCAGCCCACCCTCTGCCTTTCTCCTCCCACCTGCATGGCCTGGGTCCTCGGGTGCAAGTGGGGCCAGGCTCTCCCTCAGCACTGTCAGTGCCCTTTGAAGGACGCCTCTCTCAGCATCACCTCCGCACCTGCGCTCTCCCCTCTGCCCTGACTCAGTGAGTAACTGCCAGCACAAGTGGGCTGTGGTTCCCATTCAGAAGCAGGGGAGCCACAGGCGGGCGTGTGCAGGCGCTTAGATTCATTGGGCATGTTTTCTGCCTTTTCAGCATGGCCGGGAGGAAATATCTGAGCCCTGAAATTGCCTTTGTCAGAGCAGAAGCCAGAGAGCTGACGTGACAGGACAGACCCAGGAAATTCCAGCTGAACGGGGGGTCGTGAATGTTTCTGTGGAAGGAAAGGAAGCATTTTTCTTCCTGAAACAAGGAAGCAAGCCAGTTATGACCAACTTGGGTGTGTGCTCACTCTGCCTTAGGAAGGCCGGGCGGCTCCCAGTGTGCTCCGCCTGTCTGCGGGTGGGTGGTTGGTTCTCCTGGGAGCGCTGGGCTCGTCTCCCATGGCCCCCCCTACGACCCCCCATGGCCCCCACGGCCCCCCCGCCCCATGCCCCACTGCGGCCAAGGCCACCGTCTGGGCTTCTGCTGACTTGACTTGGACACTGCGGGCAATTCCTTGGTGTCTGTTTCTCCATCATCTTCTCTGTGAGACCTGGTCTGAGAGGAAGAGATTGCCATCTATCAGATGCTGGGGTGTCATCTCTGAGGTTTCCCACCTCTGCTCTGCTTCTCACTAATTTGTCACTTTATGGCACACTCCCTGTCTTCCAAGGCAGACACCCTGATTTGCAGGTGACTTCTGCTCACTCTCTTTTCAGCACTGTGCCCCTTCTTCAGGAATTCTCGAGAGAGGGACCCCGGGGCACGGTCCCTCACCCACCCCACCTGTGCTACTGGATGGCCTGGTGTCACAGCGGCCCCCCACCCCGCCATCTGGATGGGGTGCTCAGGTCCAGCCACCTAGCTTTCAGGCTGTAGCTGTGCCTGGCCCAGGACTTCTCCGAATATGGTGGCAAAAAGTCTGTGGTCTCAAGGTCGATCCTGCACCGGTGTCCAGTCTCGGCCCCGTGCTCTGCTTTCCCTTTTGTGATGTGGCTCTCCCTCCACTACAGTCCTGACACCCTAAGAGTCGAGGTCCGTCCGCTCTGAGCAGCCTTTTCCGGTGACAGTGAACTGAATTCTGCCAGGACCATCAGAATGCTTACTGAAGGTTTGTGGGTCACAGGAAGTGTTTTAAAAGCCACGCAGTTAACTCCACATCCCTCTTGAGCTGGGCCTCAGCCAGGATTTTCAAAGCTGGGCTCCCCATCCGCCCTCCTCTTCTCCTCTTTTCCAGGAACTCCCTCCCACCCCGTAGGCTTGTGCCTGAAGCTTCCATATCCTGTGTGCCAAGTCCTGACCCAGAAGTTTACCAAGTCATTTTTCCGGATAAAGTCAGTTTCCTCCCAGTGGTGAACTCTGGTGTCAGCTGTTTAGAAAAAGCAGTTTTTTTATTTCCTTACAAGAGCAACTTCCATACTGTCGTATAATCAGTCGGGGCTGTCTCCCTCTAAAATGAGGCTGGACTCTCCTGGTTTGACCCAGGCACCCCCAGTACCTGGCAGGGGGCCTTGCAAGCACCCAACAAATCCCGCTGCAGAGAGGGACAGGATGGCTGACCAGATGGAGGGGCACAGACCCCTCAGGGACACGCCCTGGGACCCTACTGAGCAGGAGCCGCTGGGGATGAGGGACTTGGGGGATGTGCAGTGTTGCTTAGCAACAGTTCCTTACTTCCTGTCACTCAGAAGGTACAGACCAAAAGCTTCTTATGGCAAGACTGCATCTTTGATTGCTCTTAAAACTAGGTAAGTTCTTTCCTTTTGTCTCAGCTCAAAATACAAAATTTGTAAAGGACCCCCACGGTGGAAAATGTTGAGGATATTAGATGGTCACACTTGAGAATCTGTCACCAGAGGGTTAGCCATGTTTGAGGGAGTGGGGGGCTGTCCAGAGCCAGTCTTCTGATCCCTGAGCAGACCCAGCTGCTGTACCGGAGTGCTGCTGGACTGGACCCAACAGAAGTGCCTCCAGACATGCTCACTCAGTCCAGGAGAGAGCGTCCAGAGCCTTCCTCCAAACATGAGCTCCTGGAGAATTTGCACTGAGAACTTTGTGAAGGAGTCAGGTGGTCCTGAGGAGTGACCAGACTCCCTGGTGTCGGAGTACACAGTGGACACTCAGCTCTGCCTTCTCTTTCCTTCAGCTCCCAAGGCAGCCTGAACCAGACCGTGGGGCCAGGCCAAAGGGGTTCCACTGGCTCATGGGTGCAGGGCATGCTGGCTGCCCCATAGCTCGAGAGTGGGACCTCCATGTGGACCCGGCACACAGGAGAGGCACAATCAGGAAACAAGCCTGGAGCCTTCCACTGCTCAGCTCTCAGCCAACAGCTGCGAAGGGCCTGTTCTGGGCTGACCCAGTAGAGGCAAAGGTAGAGGTGCCCCTGCGCGCTGCCTCCACGTCCAGTCTGTTCTGTACCCGGATTCTGCCACCAGGGAAATAAAAGGATAGGTCCCATGACCCAGCACTTTCATCAGCGGATCAACATGGCACCTTGTTCTGTGTGCTTCAGTGTAGACACCATATTGAATATAAGTTATTGATTCACTGTCACTGAACTCTCGTGACTCAGGCCTGAAGGAGACTCAACGTACATGTGCAACCCTGCCCGCAGTGCACTCCAGCCTTTCTGCCCCTAGAAGCTCAGACAAAGTCCCTCCTGGGGCCATATCCAACAGTGTGAAATGTGGAGAACACATGAAAACTAAATAGGCCATGGAGAGGACATTGCTGACAGGATGACGTGAAGCAGAAAGCAGAGCCTGGCTGGTTGGAGCTCAGTGGGAATGTATGGATGGGTGACATGTTTCTCTCTGCTGTGAGCCTGTGTACAACTATGCACATCAGTCAGTGAGTGATGATTTGGGGCTACAAACTCTGTAGATCACAGGATCGACTCTGTGTACATATTACTGATGTATATACAGACATAGCGGCATATTTATCACAACATGTGTGTAGGTGCATCTACATACATACATACCTGAGACACTGTATGCATACATTGGTCTGTCTTTAAACACTAAAGCTGACACTGTACTCCCCTCCTCCATGTTGAGGAGACGTGGCTCTAAAGGTGACCTCTGTCAGTTGGCTGGAGCAAACTTCTGGTTACTTGGTTTAAAACTTTTCAGAGAGAAATTTCCAAATCTAAGTGTCCCACACCATCTCAATGTGATGGACTCTGCTTGTATAAGTTACTGATTTGGAGAAGAAGCCAATTCTGACTCCTAGTTGAAAACTGTTTCTTCAACTTACTTTTTGTTGCTTTTGTTATTATAATCATACATAGTGGCTTGCTTAAAAGCACCCTACCTCTCTGCCTGACCAGGGCTTCCTTGGTGGCTCAGACAGTAAAGAATCTACCTGTAACGTGGAAGACCAGGGTTCAATCCCTGGGCTGGGAAGATCCCCCAGAAGAGGGCATGACAACTCACTCCAGTATTTTTTTTAATTTATTTATTTTAATTGGAGGCTAATTACTTTACAATACTGTAGTGGTTTTGTCATACATTGACATGAATCAGCCACGGGTGTACATGTGTTCCCATCCTGAACTCCCCTCCCACCTCCCGCCCCATCCCATCCCTCTGGGTCATCCCAGTGCACCAGCCCTGAGCACCCTGTCTCGTGCATCAAACCTGCACTGGAGATCTTTTCACATATGATAATATACATGTTTCAATGCTATTCTTTCAAATCATCCCACCCTCGCCCACAGAGTTCAAAAGATTGTTCTATACATCTGTGTCTCCTTTGCTGTCTCACATGTAGGGTCATCATTACCATCTTTCTAAATTCCATATATATGCGTTAGTATACCCTATTGGTGTTTTTCTTTCTGGCTTACTTCACTCTGTATAATAGACTCCAGTTTCATCCACCTCATTAGAACTGATTCAAATGTATTCTTTTTAATGGCTTAGTAACATTCCATTGTGTATATGTAACACAGCTTTCTTATCCATTTGTCTGCCGATGGACATCTAGGTTTCTTCCATGTCCTGGCTATTATAAACAGTGCTGCAATGAACTTTGGGGTACATGTGTCTCTTTCAATTCTGGTTTCCTCGGTGTGTATGCCCAGCAGTGGGATTGCTGGCTCATATGGCAGTTCTATTTCCAGTTTTTAAAAGAATCTCCACACTGTTCTCCATAGTGGCTGTACTAGTTTGCATTCCCACCAACAGTGTAAGAAGGTTCCCTTCTCTCCACACCCTCTCCAGCATTTATTGTTTGTAGACTTTTGGATAGCAGCCATTCTGACCAGCATGAGGTGGTACCTCATTGTGGTTTTGATTTGCATTTCTCTGATAATGAGTGATGTTGAGCATCTTTTCATGTGTTTGTTAGCCATATGTATGTCTTCCTTGGAGAAATGTCTGTTTAGTTCTTTGGCCCACTTTTTGATTGGGTCTTTTATTTTTCTGGAATTGAGCTGCAGAAGTTGCTTGTATATTTTTGAGATTAATCCTTTGTCTGTTGCTTCATTTGGTATTATTTTCTCCTATTCTGAAGGCTGTCTTTTCACCTTGCTTATAGTTTCCTTCGTTGTGCAAAAACTTTTAAGTTTAATTAGGGCTCATTTGTTTGCTTTTGCTTTTATTTCCATTATTCTGGGAGGTGGGTCATAGAGGATCCTGATGTGATTTATGTCAGAGAGTGTTTTGCCTATGTTCTCCTCTAGGAGTTTTATAGTTTCTGGTCTTACATTTAGATCTTTAATCCATTTTGAGTTTATTTTTGTGTATGGTGTTAGAAAGTGTTCTAGTTTCATTCTTTTACAAGTGGTTGACCAGTTTTCCCAGAACCATTTGTTAAAGAGATTGTCTTTTCTCCATTGTATATTCTTGCCTCCTTTGTCATAGATAAGGTGTCCATTGGTGTGTGGATTTATATCTGGACTTTCTATTTTGTTTCATTGATCTATATTTCTGTCTTTGTGTCAGTAACATACTGTCTTGATGACTGTAGCTTTGTAGGATAGCCTGAAGTCAGGCAGGTTTATTCCTCCAGTTCCATTCTTCTTTCTCAAGATTGCTTTGGCTATTCAAGGTTTTTTGTATTTCCATACAAATTGTGAAATTATTGGTTCTAGTTCTGTGAAAAATACCGTTGGTTGCTCGATAGGGATTGCATTGAATCTATAGATTGCTTTGGGTAGTATACTTATTTTCACTATTC